ATGAGGATTGGTTGAATACTATCGTTCAGAATACGATTGATCATGTCAATAAACGTCGTGCGGTGTTAGTCATTTGTGAAACACGGATCGATGCAAAGACAATCTTCAAAGAACTGCAACGTCAGCAGCCGACAAGTTCGATTCGGTTATATACAGATAATACTGATCGTATCGAATCCAATGCTGTTTCAAATCGCGTTGATTGTGGAGATATTATCGTTGCAACTAATTTAGCAGGACGCGGAACTGATTTGAAAACTACGTACGATGTTGAACAACATGGTGGTCTTCATATTTCTTTGACATTTCTACCGAAAAACGTACGTGTAGAAGAGCAAGCACTTGGTCGAACATCTCGACAAGGTAATCGCGGCACATCGCAACTAATTCTTAATCGACAACGAACCTTCCTGCAGCTTATGTCCTGGTATCCTGATTACTGGAATGCTCATCGTCATGAATTCAGTGATTTGACTGATATAGATATCGAAACGATATATGACTGGAGAACACAAAGTGAATCTGAGCAATTGGATCAGATTTGGAAGCGAGATATTGGTGAGCTAAAAGAAAAATCTCGACTTTTCCGAGGGTTTTGCGCATATCTTACTGAGTTGAAGGCGACAAAAGAGTATACATGTTGTCTATCAAGTGTGAAAGAACAATGGGGCTTATGGCTTAAATCAGTGGATCAACGTGAGCAAGCAAGACGAATGCTGGAAAAAAACTATCAAAGAAGCTGGATTTCACTGCATCGATCAGTGTTTTGTCTGTCTGAGTCTCTTTGATGTAATTTGTTATCAATTGCGAGACCAGATGAGCGCAGCTACGATCAAAAAGAAAATTATCGAACATATATCAAGCAACGAGAACATTTATAAAGGCAACGAAGAAACACAACGATATTGGGCTATCAGTCGCGCATTAAATACCAGCATTCTTATGTTTCGCAGTGACTTTCTTAGTCCATTTCTTTATAAAGCTGAAAACGCTACATCGATATGTTATATCGGTTATGTTGTCTCTCAGGTTTACCTCGTTCTTGAACCACTCTCTCGTCACACTTACTACAACGTTGACGAATTCGAACAAATACCACCAGTCGAGAGTGATACAATGCAATCTGGCCTATCATGTGAAGAGCCTACAAGCATGAGAAAACTAAAGGACTCTATATGGACAGAAGTAGACAAACGAAATCTAAATGACAGTTTTGAAGAGTTCAAAAGACAAACTCGTAAAGAACATGAAGCTAACCAAGCTATTCGAAATCCTTATTACTTGATTTTCGAGGCAGATCATTTAATTACGAAATACTGTTCGTTTATTCATCGAATAAAAACGATACCCAACTTTGTTCCATTCATCGATCATCTCGACCATGTCATAGTTCAAGCTGTAAATCTTTTGAAAAGAGCTGTTGAACTCGACTCTGTTTTTGCATTCACTGCCTTGCCCAATCTTGCTTACTTCACGATAGTTCAGTATAAACTGTCGGAGACGTACAAATCGACAGCAAAATCTTTTTTAATGGAAGCACAAAAACAAATCGAACAACATATAGTTCCATCACTGATTTTCATGAAGGCTTCATCATATAATGAAAACGATGATAACATTCATGAAGATTTCTCCAAACAAGTGGAAGCGAAACTCATGGTCATCAGCTCGTATAGCACGTCTATTGACCAAGCGATATCAAATATTGAGAATTCACAGAAATTAATGGATTTTTCTTCGAAATGCAACCAAACAATAAAAACTGCCGAAAAATTATATCGTAAAAAACCCACCGAGTTCATTTGTGAAAATTGTAGAGAAATTAAACTAACTTTTCACAGTTTGACCGTGGTGGACGACGTTATCAAAACTGATCAAGCATTAGAATTACTCAAGCTGGTACCATCAGACTATTGGCACGTATCAGTTGAATATTCTTATATGGATAAGACCAAGCTGGAAGCATTGAGTTCAAATATACCATCGTGCCGTGAGTATCAGAATAACCGACTCGATCCAAATGTGGAATCGAAACAAATGAGATTGATAACATCGATGAATATTGAAAGCAATGCTCAGCTATCGGACTCCTCAATGATGTCCACTCGATTATATGTTGATACTATGGTGGAAATGGTGGAACGTCTTCCCGACGAACAGTCATTCTCTTGCTATTTTGAGAACTTATCACCGGAGAAAGCTCGTCATTTACTTCAGAAAAATACCGATCGAAACTTTGTTCTGCACTTTCATCAGTTGACACATACACAAGCTTTGAAAATTCTTGATAAATTTGATCGAAATGAGCAAAATATCAATGCAAGTTTTAAATCTGTGACTGAGTATCATTTTCAAAGCAATCGTTTGACCGAAGAAGAACTCCACGAATATGCGGGAATGGGTATCAGTCGTTTTCTTCTCGTCGAAGAACTTCAACCACGTCCGATCATCGCTTCTGCAATCGTCGTAACTCTTGGTGTTGCTCAAGTTGTTACTGGCGCGTGTCTAATTGCTCTAACAAATGGAATAGGTGTAACTTTAGGTACATCACTGATTGGCGAGGGTATAAGTGATATTTTCTTTGTTCTGCAAAGTGTTTGGTCCCGGAATTTATCTTTGAAACAATATAGCATTCAAAAAGGCATAAGTCTTCTCTTGAGTTTTTCTTCACTTGGATTCTCAACTGTTACTCAAGCGGTATCCATTGCTCGAACGAATGCGAATTTTGGTTCGCGCTTCTTTGGACAGACAATGAAAGAAACTGTGAACATTTTCAAAAGTAGTTTCACAGCCATTGGTACTACCGTTGCTCCTGCAGCGACAGGACTTTCGTTGACACTGGGATGTAAACAACTGATGACTTTGGGGAAACTAGTGGCCAAACAACCTGTAGCTAATCTTCTATCAAAAGCTTCAGATTCACTAAAGCCTTTCATCCAAGCAAAAATGATCGAAATCGTCAATAAACAGCTAGACAACATCGCATTTATTAGTACCTTAAATAAAGCTCTGATTGCCGATATGTACTATGAAACGAATCGATATCAAAAGGAAATCGAAAATGTCATTTCTGACGTTCTAAAAAAGCAAGCAAACATTTGCGCAAACAAACGAGTACTTGTAAATATTCTCCGCACAATTGCGCCTAAATTGCTTAAAGCAGCTGCCAAACTATCAGGAATATTGAGTAAGGCGCACAATGTCTCCGACGAAATCTTGTTATGCGCAATTGGAGCATTAGGTTCAGCTGTATGCGAGTTCGGGAAAGCCTATGAATTTAATGTAGAGATGCAAAACTTATTTTCGACATTCTTTGAGCAATGCACCACGCTGCAAATACCGACCTTCATGGAACTTCTTCACCATCGTTCGGGGTACTTAATTTCTGAAAGCACAGCCACTGAAATTTATGAAGAACTATTGAAACACAAAATTGTTCATTCTGATTACGGCACGGGTGCTCTGTATGATCGACAGAACTCGGACAGCGATTTTAGTGGACAAATTAGCAGCTGTTCTCGTTCAATGGTTCAAACTTCTGCAAACCATTTGACAGAATTCATCAAGAAACTCGAACACATCGATGAGGATCAAAAGCCGCACGTGCTGCACATCGTTCGAATCTTAAGCAAAGCGAATCACAGTCTCTTTAAGAAAAAATTTCGTCAGAAAGTCGTCGATTTATTCGTTGAACACATTGTTAAGGATTTGTACGGTGAAATTATTCAACCACTGATCAAACAGATTGTCAAGCGAGCAACTTATTTTTTAGCAGACCAGCTCGACGATGAATGTGACGCAAAGGATAAATCAATGAAATATCGAAAAACTCCCAAGAACAAAACAAATCATCGAGATTCATTCCATAATGACATGATTGAGAAATTTCATGAATTGATTGGAAATGGCAATTTAGTCAATCTTCTCGGTATCCTTGCTGCTCTACAAAATCAACCGATTTCGATTGTACAAAAACAGATCGAAAATGGTTCAATTCAAAATATAGAATCCAAATGCGAAGCATTTGTTCTGACGAATCCGCGATATATGGAAGGTATTAGATCGATTATTTATTATAATTATGCGTGTCGAAAGGTAACTGCACGAGAAAATTTATCATCGACGGATCATTTCTATTTTCCATATGAAAAATATGACGCATTCCAAAGGAATATGAAAGATCTTGTCCAACAAAAGACTGACCGATCGATAATCCTGAGTCACTGGTTAACATCAAATTCTCTTCATTTTGATATCGAAACGACAACATTTGCTCTTTTGTATCCACAAATGAAATTTTTAGAACGAACCGGTTTCAAATTAAATTCGATCCGCTTATGTAAAAGGATGCCTAGTGATGCTGGCCAGAGAGTCGTTTGCTTCGTCTATTGTTCGTATGAAGGTGTCGATCGAATGCAACGCTTGGAAGAATATGCCAACAATATGCTGTCTATATTGAATTCAAATGACAACATTCGAGAAGACATAGTCGCTGACTCGCCGATTGTGATTGTAAACATGTGTCTGGATAAATATTTTCATTATATGTTGATGAAGAAAGAAATAATCATAACCGATGCTTATGATGAAATCGAAATACTATTATTTGCACCAACCTCAAAGAATATTCACCTGTAAGTTACAAAACGTAACTTTAATGAAAATCATCTATGTCATTTCGCTACTTTTAGACAAACTATTCCAGCGACTGCAACATCATCAATCTTAGGAAATATTTTGTTTAAGATGTGCCATCTTCTCAACAGCGACACTTGACGTTTACACTTACACGATTGAGGAAATGTAGTTTTCTTTTACTCTCGAAAATAAAGAAAAATTCGAAAAGAAATTCAAAAGATCAACTATGACATCACTCAATATGCCATTGAGTAAAGATAAATAGAGCTAAAGAAGGTCATTCTATTGAATTCTCATCACAAACTCTCATACAATTTTACTCGAAAAATATTATACTCATTCACATCCTCACCTTCTTCTTGAAATATATAACATTTACGAGAAATATACGATTCACTCTCATCCGTTGTATATGAATATTAAAATTATTCATTGATGCGTATACACGTGTACGGATGAAGTGCTTTCTTTCCTTTGTATTTTTCGACGTGCGTCATGAGTAAACTGATAAACAAAAAAAGAACACCAATATTTTTTCATTCGTACAAATGCTATATATAACGAAAACAAACAAAAAGAATGCATATGCGTACTCGTTTACATGTCCTTCTAGTTTTAATAAGTCATAAATGTTGATTTAAGGAGTGTATTTGTTTTAGACAGCAGATAGATGGTTTTTAAGCATTTAACTCTTCATTTTCTCGAGAAGTATCTGGGAGAATACCTTGAGGATTTAGATACAAAAAAACTGAAAATTGGATTATGGCATGGGAATGTGACGATACGTAATGTTCATTTGAAAACGAATCGATTGGTAAATACCAGCGAAGTAAATCCTATTTGTTTTAACGTTGAGTTTCAGGATGATTTCAATCTTCCGATTCGAATCAAAACTGGCTATCTCGGTATGTTTATTTACGCTTCGATTGCAGTAGTTCGAATGCATTTGTAGAACAATTAACAATTCATATTCCATGGAAACATTTGCATGTTCATCCAACGCGAATTTCTGTTCAGGGATTTTACGTTCTCCTAGAACCTAAAACCGGTTGGAATCTATTCTTCTTCTTCTGTTTTGCAAAAACTAATTCGCCGATTTAGATATTATCTATGACGCTCGAAAACAAGAAGAACATGAGTATCAATCCAAAATGAAACAAGTCAAAAAGGTTGAAAAGTATCGTTTGAAGAGAGAGAAAACCGGTAAAGATTTTTCTGGAAAAGTATTCTTCCAATCAATTCGTCTCTATTTCAGAATACTCCAATACGCATAATAAACACAGACAGACATTTTTTCAACGTTTGAAATTTCACATTCTTCGAAATCTTGAAGTTTCTATTGAAAACATTTACATTCATTATCAAGATAAATATATCAAACCTGGACATCCATTCACATTCACTGTGATACTCCATTCGATCAAACTGACCGTATAAACGAATGTTTTTTCTCTGAAAGAAACGCACGATTGATTTTTATTGTAGAGAACCAATTCCGAATGGGGAGATGTGCATACGAAAGAACATTCAAAGATACTCTACAAAGTAACTTACTGCATCGCGTCGGTAAGAAATTGCCAACAAAAACTATCTTTTAGATCGGCGAATTGAATCATTTATCGATAAGTTGGAATTCCGACTCGCAATTCGATGGTAATTTATCCAAAGAAGATCTCATCGTATGTACTTCGCATTTCTTGCAGTGTATCTTTGAATGGACTTGCATTTAGAACTATCTCAAAGCAGACAATCTACAGCAAAATTACAGTTAATACTAATTCTTTGTTCGAATGTCACGGAAAGAAGATTAGGATTGCTTATTTTTCAGTTCTTCAACCATTGCATGCGTCAGCAAAGCTCGAAATCGCCAGAAAAGCCGAGAAACAACATTTTCAACAACCTGTTCTGCAGAGCGAGGTTCTTTTTCAAGAAATTAATTTGAATATTACTCGAAGTCAGGTTAGAACATTCGACGAATCTTGCAAACTCTTTACAACTTATTTTGCTTTAGTACTCGGGCATACTAGATTTGCTCGAATATCACAATTATTATGATTTGAAATCCAAATACATCAAGTACTATACACCGATCGGCAGTTCTCAACATGACAAACCGAGTCGACGACGGTTATTGAAAGAGGAATGTATGTGATCAAGAAAAACATTTTCGTTGTTGTGTTTAGATGGAAATTTGCTTATAATGTGATTTTGAATGAGCAAATTCGTCCTCGACTTGCGTCCTATCAGTGGAAAAACATCAAATTGCACTTAGATCGATCGAAGGAGTATTATAATCTCTATTATCAGCAATTAACGAATCATCTTCCTAAAGAACACAAACAATCTCTTGAAGTATATGATGACAATCTTCTTTTCCTCACATTGTTTCTACGAGATATTCGAATTTCAGGAATTAGAGCGACAAATGAATGCGTTCGGTTTGATTTATGTACGACGAATTGCTCAAATGAAAGTAAAGAGAAATCAGAGTCTTCTGGTTACTTTATGAACAAGATTGAATCTTTAGGCAATGAAGAGAAAGTTAATGAAAAAAGAAAGATCTCAATGGGATAAGCTATCCGATTGGTTTAACCATCATCGTCACCGTCATCGTCATCATTATGAGGAGTTGGGTACACTAATCTCTTCTAGTTTCAACACTCCAATTGAAAGTCTCTGCATTCTTTTAGATTTTTCATCGGATACTGTTATGTTAGAAGAAGAAAAAGACAAACTCTATGAAGCAATGGAATATCACGATGAGCACAATACAATAGCTTATCCACCGGAGGTATATCATTCGATTTATAAATTTTGTTATATATTAAAATTTCTTTCAAATAGTATGTTGATATTAATCTTGCGATTCGATTAAACCTGATTACAGTCAATATTCTGTCAAATATTAACGAACAGGATGCACAGTTTCGAGTACTTATCGGCGCAACTTTATCAAATCTTGATTTCGTGTATAAACACCGTCCGGCTGCAAATAACTTTTCGTAAGAGTCAGATTATATTGTTAAGACAATTCAAATTGATTTTTCTCTAGATTTGAGGTCAATGTTGATACGTTTCAAATATCGGGCAATCCAGCCGAAACGAATCAAGTTAGTCTTATTCAGTCGCACGATAAAGTAAATCAATTATTACATATCCAATTTGCAACGAATCCAGTCGATCAAAACTGTGATTATCATCTATTTGCTCGTGCTAAATCTCTTGATTTAATCTATCATACAAAAATTACTGAAAAACTTATGGAATTCTTTCTTCCTGAGAAAGAATATCATTTGGAAAAGTGAGAAGAAAGTCGAATGGTTTTCTGGAAATTATACATTGCTCGTGATGATGATTTTAGGATAAAGGAAGCTGCATATTCAATTTACACGGATATACAAAAGAATACACAGTTTCTATTCAGTGAAAATCTGAAGAAAATCAAAGCATTAGATCTGGACATTGACATACAGCCGTTATTTGTTGTATTGTTGCGATGTGACGAGAAGTCAAAGTGAGTTCTCTCTACATTTTACGACGTACCGAATTTGCTTTTATCTTGCGTTAGTCGGGTGGAATCGATTTGTCTAGATTCAGGCCACCTAACATTCAAAGGTGGAGAAAAATTTCGCCAAGAAATACTTCAGCATACTACAGTATGCATCTCAATTAGATATCTTTTTGTATTTTTTGTCGTAAAATTTCGCATTATATAGGATAATCGGCACCAGAATAGTTCATCGTTCATTCCATTGCAGTTTGCGCTTGAAAACACCAAGTTAGTGTATTGCGAGAAAGATTGGAAACAGGTACTTGATGAAAATAACTCTTCATCTCATATTATTCAACCAGTAACTTTCACCTGTGATATCTACAAATCAGTGTGCACAGATCGTATAGATGAACCCATGTAAAGTACTAGTTTCGCTTGTTTTATTGGAAAATCATTTCTCTCTTTAGCTGGAATATTACTAGTGGTGTTTCGAGGGTGATATCTAATCTGTCTGATAAGCGTATATCAGAAATAGTCAAAGTCTTTCAATCTATTCAACTGCCACAAACACGAAGACCATCAAACAATCCATATAAAATTCAAGTTCGTGCGCCACCTGTTTATAATCATATGTGGCAAAACTCATTTCTTTCGATGATTAGAAATTGAATTCAAATGATAAAAGATATAAACTTAGCGTAAAACAACTTTATCGAGCCGTGGAAGATATCACATCAGCGACAACAACTGTTTATGAGGAGGGAACTCAACAGAAACAACTCGAACCGCATCAGCAATTAACTGAAATTCAACTCTTTTTCCAGATTCCTTCCGTAAGTTCAATGCATACATATAAATTAGCTCACATACATATTTACAGATCAATTTATACTTGAATCAGTATTCAACAGATGTAAGTGAGCCATTGATGGAAATCGCATTGACGTCAATCGTTACCGAAGGAAAAATGAAAACTTATGATATTGAATTTGATTTATCACTTCAAGATGTAACTATCATTCATCAACAGTTCAAAACAGAAGAAAATAAGAAATTTTCGCTGTTGAGCAAGCAACATCAAAATAAAATTTTTACAATCGCTGGATTATTAACATCCGCTGATAATCCATTATTTTCAGTGGCGTCCTATAATTCAATCGAGAATCAAATCTCGATTACTATGAGTCGATTCATCTTAAATATTCAATTGGAAATAATCCAGTCAATTCTGATGTTTAAAAATAATATTACTAAGCAATTAGCACTCAAGCCGTCAACCAAAACACAACCAGAAGCTATTACAATTGATACGAAAACTGTTCAACGTTCTAATTCACAATCATTTAAGATAGTGTTCAACAATGAAGAATTCGGTATTCTGATTGGCAATGAATCTTCTCAATTATTTTATATGGCATTGAAAACCATGCAGGCTAGTTTCTGTCGCACACGAGTGAAAATGTTGGGTCACTTCATTATACATGACTTCGTTCTTCTTGATCCATCAAATCAATGTCGATTTGATGCAATTGTTTCAAAAGAAGATAATCAGAATGATTTGCTCTCACTAGATTTCTCATTATTCAATTATTCAGAAAATCGCTCTCCTCCAATTGACTCATACGTTAAAGGTCGTTTGGATAAACTCAATATAGTTCTTCTTTATAAACATATTCAACTTCTTTTAACTATTATTCAATCCTTTAATCAGAATATTTCAAAGCAAAAGAAAGTTTCTTCAACGAAACAACAATCTTCGTCTTCGCACAGTCGATTTTCAAAACTTCATTTTCAAATCGAATTGCTGGGACCAAGACTATTCGTACCCAAGCATTCATATTCCTTCGAAGCTATACTGATTGATTTCGGACAAATAGCTTTGAAAACTGCCTCGCCGAAGGATGAAACATACGCCCTCGTCTTTAAAAATTTATCAATCAATCGCGTGAAATTAAACAATAATAATCAAGTTATTGAAACATTCCATTTATCCGAATGCTCATCATTGAATATATTTATCAATTATTGCTCGAATGTGAAAAATATTCAATCCGAACAAGCGATGTTGTCGATAAAAATACAGTGGGATCAGTTGGATTTCATAGTCGCTAAAGATGATTATCTATTTCTGATACAAATGATCAAAGGAAATTTTACCGAAAAGATCTCTAGCGGTACACCTGCGAAAGAACAGACGAAAGGAACTAACGAACAATCAAATGTAAATAACAACAAAGTGTATCAATTACTTATGATCGACGTCCTAACGAAACGAGCTAGTTTGACGCTTTGCAAAGATCATATGTCAACACCTAATTCGAAATTGCTTTGTTTCAATCTTAGTGACCTTCAGTTAGATTTTCAGTTGGCATCAAATGCAACTTATCGAGGAGAAGTACATTTACAAACTCTGTTTGCCGATGGTTTGTGTCAACCTAATTCTCAAAACTCCATTTCACGTTTAATAGATCGAAAGTTTGATCTAGAACAAAATGCTCCCATTTTAAGTCTGAGTGCATCGTCCGAACAATCAATTATCGACAGTCGGTCGACGTCTCTGCGAAGAATATTTTCAATAAATGGAGAAATTCAAAGCATATACATTGGCATTAGCGTTACATACTTACTTGTTTTGAAAGACTACTTCACCATAAATCAATTAGCAGCAGAAGAAGCACCGTATCCTCTTGAAACAACTGCTCATCAATCGAAATTAGAGAATATACCACCTCCTGCTAAACATACATCAAGCTCTAATCCGATAGAACAGAATCTATCTACGAATGCCGATTTTCAAACAGTTTCCAATAACAAACGTACGTACTCTTTTTTTGCGAGAGATAAGTATAAAAACTAGATTTTTATGTTGATGTTTCAGATAAAGAATCTTCTATTGAACTGAACATCTCTTTTACTATGCAACCGTGTCAATTGATTTTAATTGAAGATGAAAAGAACAGTCATTCAAATTGCCTTGTTGCCGAAGTAAGTTTAGTGTTTTGAGAGTGTTGATAACCTGCTGTAAATTGAAGTTACCTGTCGTGTTCAAAATGACTAGTCTGAGTGGAACTCAGAAAATCGCTGGTTCAACAAAAGATTTGCTGGTTTATGCGTCTAATTTTGACCAATTAAGACAGTCCGGAGCCATCAAATATCATGTAAGAACATTTTCCCGAAATTTTCTCTTTATTTATCTCGTTTCCAACCACATCCAAGATATTGAAACCATGTGAGATTTCTCTATCTGTTGCAATAACAGCCGCTGAACAAATTATCGATGTTCATATCGGAGATATCTCCGTTGATGTCAATCCGATGTTAATTCATGTCATCATTTCGACTGTGAAATCGTTGAACAAACAACAAGTATGAATCGACATGTTTATTCCACTACATATTCATATCGACTTCTTCAATAGGCAACTATGAAACAGGAGAAGGAGAAATTCGATTCAAAAACGTTATTCGATCCCAAACCATTCAAAGATTCGAATTTTTGGTTCATCCAAGGTTACTGTCGTGTTTCTGTATTTATTTTGATCTTACATACTATCTATTGAATTTCAAGATTCTCAAGAAAAAGAAAACAGATTGGAACAGACAGATATATTAGAAATAGCGACAGGATCACCGCTACGAAAGAAACAACGTGTTCGGCAACAAAATAAAAAACCATCGACCAAGCTCATCCATCAACAGGTATATTCTATTTCTTTTTTACTCACTTGGTTTATATTGATATGTTCAGTTTACTGCCGATCTCAACATCGTAGAAGTTAAGTTTCAACTCGGCACTGGATCAACCACACGCCCTGTCATCGCTCTATGTCTGTCAAAAATATACGCACAATTTCAAGATTGGTCATCCAATGTAATGTATTGTATATTTATGAATTAAGATTTGTATAATCAACATTCGTATAGCTATCTGTTTCTTCGTCGATTCAAATTGAATTAGCTTTATTCAACGATCATCTACTTGCTTGGGAACCATTGATTGAACCAATTGTTGATCCACGCGGTCAAATCGTGTCGCCCTGGTCAATCAAATGCCATACCAAACATGTAGATTACATTTGAAAAGGATCTAATTACTTTGTTTTTCATTTCTTTAAAGGATAACGAAATTGATGAAATCGAACTCGAGACATTGCTTAATGAGGACAAATCGTTAACCTGCAAAGCTGAAAGTGAACGTCTGACACATTTTGACATACAGAATATTGTATTCATTCGAGCGGATCATTTATTGAATGTCACTCTGACGAAGACAAGTATTATCCTTGCTCAACATCTATTCACAATGTTAGGTGATATATATAAGAACGAATATGCAGCGATAGAACATGATGATCGATCGATCTTGTCAATACACAATCAAACCGGTTATCGCATTAGTATTGGGAAATTTATTGGTATCCAATTCATTGAAAATAATCATTCGAATGAAGATGTTTATCTGCGTGACAAAGAATCGATTAAATTAACTGTATCTGCTGATCGTCTGAGTGCAACTCATCTTCCAGCTATTTCCGAGCAAATCGATAAGCGAAAACAGGAATTTTCTGTTGAAGTAAGCAAACTTTTTATCGAAAATTTCTTTTTTTTTCTAAAGAGAAAGTGTTCTCATTCAGATTGAAGGTAAAACAATTCAAATAGACATCAATCAAACATGGAGACGAGTGTATGAGATCGATGCGTCGTCAATGCCAAATTGGCCAATTCAGTTACTTTGCGACTCACAGATTCACGAAGATCGTCGACGAATTGTTCTCAGCTCGATTATCAAAGTAAGAGCGTTCTTATTACCAAAGAGACGAATAAGTATTGATGAACCTTAAAGGTAACCAACCTAACAATAATGCCTTTAATTCTTCTCGACCCAGAGACGGTTGAAACAAAGAAATTTCACCGTATAGCTCGTATCGATGTCAATCAGGAATTCTATGTACCCATTCAGTTTCTGTATCTTCGAATGAGCCCACGCTTATATTTTACGATTGATACTGATGATTCTAACGAAGTCTATGATTTTATGTCGTTTGAATGGGCAATTGAATCAAGCAGTGATCGAGTGCTGAAACGGCCGGATGGAAGTCAAGTTAATTATGTGGTATGATGAGCTTTCGTAGATGAGCTCAAAAATTTGTTGTTCTGTAGATACATAAGGACTCGATTGAAGCATATTCAGAGAACACTGATGAACCTATTCGTAATTCATTCAACATCTGTGTTCAATTAGCTCTTCATCTAATTAACTTTCTACCAATACTTATTCAATGTCGAATCGATGTCAGTTACCTCACGTTTATCCTTTTCACTCTTTCTCTGTGTTTTCATTTCCTTTAGAATTCTAACCAGATTGAATTGAGACCGAGTGAATTATGTCACGTGCCAATTGGAAATAAAAAATCCGTCCTTGTCTTCATAGTACTATCCTTTTTCCTCACATGATGATCGACTTACCTTTGACAATTGATTAGATTCCCTCCTACAAGAATACCAAATGGATATCCGAATCGGTCGATCTGAAGAACGAAGGTGATGGCAATCACAATGAGCATCTGATCATATTTCATGACGATACACCAAATCAAATCCTAGTCAGTTGAGCCTCTTTAATCATAGTCGAATGAATTGCTTTGTATTCTTTGAAGAGAATGATCTTGCGTGTTGAAATCTGTCGCCATTCATATCGTGCTTCATTCTATTGTCCATACTGGATTGTAAATACAACTGATCTCCAATTCCAAATCAAAGTATTTCGATTGTCGAGTAGATTTTGTCTTTGACATGATCGTTTAGATTGAGCATGAGAAAATATTTATTGATGAAACCGATCAAGCACATCTTGTCTGTCCACGAAAGATTCACGGCGAATCGCATAAAAAGAAAGTGAGTGTTTAGTGAGCCAAACTTCGATTACAAATTCGTTATTTCCAAGGCACATATTCGTTTGTATGATGACAAAGAAGATGAAAGTATTTCTCATTGGTCTGAAAGTTTCTCCATCAACGTTATCAAAAGTACCGGTATGACCACTTGTAAAGTTTCGAATGATCGAATTTATACAGTAAGCAGAATGCTGAAAGTAATCCGATTAGCTTTTTTGTGAAACAGATTTGTATCAACATTGAAACCTGTTCGTTTGGTATGTCGAAAATCATTACCATTGCTCCATCAATGTTCGTTATCAACAATTCATCCGTAGGAGATCGTTCTCTTCGAGAAGCTTGATTCGAAACTATCTGACTCTAGATTGAACTTGAGATTATCGAAATGTTGAATGGTAGCGAACAAGATAAATGGAAATCTCTCAAAGCTGAACAAGTATTTCTCCTTGTTTTCGAACATATTCGACAGAAATCGTTTTTAGGTAATTCCATTTTGGCCACACCAGATAAAAGATGACATGTTGTGTGTACGTTATGTACACAATCAAGAAGCATTGGCGTGTATTCCAATCAGTAATAAATATCGAACGTTATTGCGTATGAATGATGAAGAGTATCCGGCGATCGATGTTCAAATTCATACAACAGATTTCGATGGATATCGAATTGTTTTTTCGGATTATAAGACAGGAGATGCGCCGATTTTGCTTGTGAATACGTTAATTGACCAATCGATTACATTTTCTCAAAAAGGAGATTCGTAAGAAGCCGCGCTCTTCCTTTTTTCTCTTTTGAATACATTTTTTCAATTAGACAAGCACAGGTCTTACCATCTCAACATTACCTCTATTACACTTGGAATGATCCATTTAAGCCATATGAATTAACCATTTCTGCCGATGTGGAAAGTGTAACAGTCGAACTTCATGTAAGTAAATAGTTTCTATCTTAAGTTCGACTTATCTTATTATTTTGAAGCCAACCTATGGCGTGTTAGACCAAAAGATTCATTACGCCGTATTTCACGATGGTCCACAAACTGTTCTGTTATTCTCTTCTGATACATCCATCATTGAATCAGTAACTGATGTAGGAAAACTTTCTCATTCAAGGAACACTCCAGCATGATTTTCATCTTCTAGACTTCACTTGTGGAAGAGCCAATTCGTAATTACATCCAGTTAATTGTTCATAGTATTGGCGTATCGATCATTAATGACATCACTCGCGATGATTTATTATATGTGACAATCAATCCATCTAAAGATATCTGGATAACAAAACATAAATACGACTTCGAACCTGTTCCAGCGCCGCTTAATCTCCATTTAGAAGAAAACTATACAACGTATATTAAACATCGATATGATCAACATCCAATCAGAAGGGAAATCCGTGAAGATCGATACACAATCGATAATAATCTCGTAAGGCAAATAACATGTCACTTAGCTGTGCAATTCAATTTAAAATACGTAGGTTGTTTCATTTGATGAAAATATTGGTGAAGTAAGCGATGAACACGGTCGTTCTGTTCATGTTATACGTCAGAAGCTTGATGCACTTTGGATTGGGTATGCATGGTCAAAAAGTAATGTTATTGTTCATGCACGAGTTCAACATATCCAAGCTGATAACCAACTGAATTGCACACTATTTCCAACGCTCGTTTATCCGATTGCTTCGAAAACAAATGCGATAACTTATCTGAGTGACAAACCACTGATTGAGTTGAGTTTGTTCAAAAGTCAATCGATCAGATCGAATACGATTGATATAAGGTACTGCAATCTTCACGGTATGAGTTGTTTTTAATTGTTTTTTATTTAGATATTTTAAAATACTAATCCAAGAATTCGCACTTTGTGCTGATCAAGGTTTTATCCTAGCTTTATTTGAATTTTTCAAGCTCAATCAGGTTGTGCTCTCTTTCATCGATTAAATTTTCTATTTCATCATTCTTTAGAATCCTCTACCACCTAAGATTAACATGAACCGAGACATCACCCTTCTACACAAACCCCTGGAATCTTTCGTCAAAGCTGATACATACAAATCGTCATCTGAGACCCTCATCTACTTCGATCATCTGCATTTATCTCCTTTAAAAGTAAAGATTATAGTAAAACTCTCGTGAAAAGATGAAACTAATATTGGTTTTCAAAGATTCACGTTAGTTTTACAATGCACGGTTCGAAGCCAGATAAACAACTACTTGCCGAGTATCCACTAGCCGATTTTCTCTTGCAAATTTTAAATCTTGCTGAAGTTCAAGATGTGACATTAAAGTAAGTTGTTAGGAGATGATTAGAATGCATAAAACGAAATGGAAATGGTTTAGATTGAATTTTTATCAACGGCAAAATGATCGGTACACGATTGAAAAACTACGAAAGGAGATTTTCAAGCATTATGAACATCAATTTTTCGAACAAATTCATGTGGTTATTCTCGGTCTTGATGTTCTGGGCAATCCATTTGGGGTGATTCGAGGAGTCGCACATGGCGTTGAATCATTCTTCTATGAACCCTATGAAGTAAATAGAATCATTTTCCGGCATTCGATGATCCTCTCTTCTTCAGGGCGCTATGGCAGGTTCAAAAGAGTTCATCCTCGGAGTTCGACATGGTACTCGCAAATTAGTGGGCTCAGTCATTGGTGGAACTGCCGGTGCACTTTCGAAAGTTACTGATGCAGCGAGCAAAAGTTTAGCAACATTAACATTCGATAAAGAATATAAGAATATTCGAATCAAACGAAAGGAACTAGATGGAACAACATCTTCACATATTCTCTCAAGTGGAAAACATACTGCTAGGGTTTCAACTTTCCTGATCGATCGTATATTCTTCATTAACATAATTTCGATTTAGGATATCGTGACAAGTGTCAAAGATCTTGTTAAGAAACCAATTGAAGGCGCGAAGGAGCATGGACATGAAGGTTTTGCTAAGGGTGTGGGAAAGAGTATGATTGGTCTTGTCGCTAAACCAACGAGTGGAGTTGTTGATTTGACCAGTACATCATTCAATTCGTTGAAAAGAGCTGCAACGCATGAACAAGTCATTCGTCGTATTCGCCCACCACGACATATTGGTGGTGATGGAATTGTCCGTCCGTCGATTGCACATGAAAAATTAGGAAATTTTATGTTTGATGTAAGTGAGACGGTTACAGGTGATTGAAACTGATTTATTTTTAGAACATCGATTTCGAAAATTCCGAAGATTATCTTGCACATATTCGTTGTTTTGGTCAGTCGGAAAGTTACTTCTTCGCAACAACAAAGTATGGATAATAGTTTTAGATTGAGAGAGATAGAGATAGAAATGAAGAATATGAATTATTTAGACGAGTTTTATTGATGAACGAAACGTCTTCATCAACGAGAGTTTATGAGATAACATGGGCGTGTTATTATAAACAAATTAAAAATTCACCTCAAGTGAAATTCAACCCGAGTCACATTGAAATCAATTATCGAGTAAGTCGGAATGTTGAATGATGATTTCGCTTTTTGAGAAATGTTCTGTAGGATATTAACAAGCTTCATATGACGAAATACGATGAAGTGCACACGAAATTAGTTCCGTACCAGATTGTCGGCGAAGCCCGGGTATTTTAACATAGTTCTTTTGAAAACTACTATTCTCATTTCTTGTTTTCTCACAGTATATCGTCGATAGAATCATCGAAATGATGCGTACATTACAAGTTTAAATATTTCAAGACGTTTTTCTTTTGTGTTAAATTTCTAAAACCTTAATCTGGCTAATAAAATGAATAAATATTGTTTTGACTTATGAAAAAAACACAGCAAGTAGATATGCACAAAACCTCAGCACTCTAAACGACCTGAATTTAATATGTGGCTTCTCTAAAGAATCCTTAGATCAGCATAGTATTTGTTGGCAGACTTTGGAGGATTAGAGTAGTCAAATATTTTGTCGGGTGATATACTCAATCCAGACAGCAATTTGTATATCTATGTATAGTTTTTGTCTTCGAAAGAAGTTTTGAAAAATATCACAATGCACTATTTCTTCTTAAATTTACAACTGGTCTGCTTTCTTAGTCTATTCTACGGCGGACTTTGTGAATTGCAGACTTCATGTAAGTGGAAGATTTTCAGTTCTCGTCTTGATAATTGAATTGATATTCATTTCTTTCACAGGTCAAAGTGGAAAAGTATATATGGGATGGTGTCAATATAATCCCAATTACACAAATGCGTCGGTCTACGCTCATTGTATTAGGCGATATGTTGTTCAAGCGGTTTTATTCCAACGGCCTTTTCCCTAACACCTTCAGTCGTCCATCTCGGATTGTCGCAATTAGATATTCGGTAAGCTCTCTGCTATGGCTATTGGGATGTTCAATATACCGAAATTGCTATTCTTGCCTGTAGAAGTAACGATCACGATGTTAGGCTTGAAGTGTCTGCACAATCGATTACGCCTTATGGATTCAATGTTCACTTCAGTTCTTGGGCCGACTCGATCACCCATAGTGCAGGTGTCAATTGGCTAGCATGTCTATAAATGTATGCTAGACTGTTGCTGAACAGCAATTAAAGAATAAAATATAATCCTTTCATTAATTTTTTTCGAAAGAAATTAAAATAAATGGAAGTATGAATAAGAAAACAGGTTAACACTGTCGACATATTTTCTTCGAGCTAACTCAAGTTCGAAACGGGCATTCTCTGAGTCTTGTTCATCAACTGCGAATCGAAATGTAATCAGTCGTGACGGTATGAATGAAAGCGATACATATTTAGTCTGAATAGACAATGATGTTTTAGATGTACACGAATGAAAAAAGACGAGATCATCATTGCCCTCTACCAACAAATACTGGAAGCATTAGGGCGTACCACTGTTTACGTTGTAGATAGTCAACTTTCTACAATCTGAACTACTTTTTTTCCGAGTGCAATAACAATCTGATGAAAAAAAAAACATTCAAGTTTGCACTTCTATGTGAATAACGATTTTACTAGAAAATAGCTACTTTCTTCTTCACTTCTTATTTTAAAGTAATGGGTGGACCAGAATAAATAGATCTCTGTATTTTGCATATTTCTCTGCTATTTTTAGACATGAAAAAAAGGATTTCTTGTCAAATTCTTTACAAAATCGTAGTGGAACATATTTCTGTAACAAGCGAAGACCGAAAACTAGGTGAAGAATATTCTACACGTATATAATGCTCAAGTTTCAAAGCGCCCGACTATGTTTTTTGAATAAAACGCTTAGAATTTATATCGTCTATTTTAAAGTCAAGGCATACTAGGAGATACAACGTCAAAAGCTCTGCCAATTACACTAAAAATCTTATTTTATATATACGTGGTTTTTTCAAAATGAACAATATTTTTTCCATAACTATTCGACGTTTTGCAGCTATTCTGATCAAACACTGTCTATATATCATCAAACAACACTGAGACATGTCTCAGTATCACCTGTATGTAGTGCACCTGTAAGGCTTTGACCATGTCTGCCATCAGATGGAACTGCATTCGAAGTAATAATATATGTCAACTATTCCACAGGTGATACTGGACTAACAAGCTTCACGAATGTAACTTTCAAGTTTCAACAGTTTTCAAATCGATCACTCTCGACGACCACAACAGTTGCAATGGTTACATCAAACGTTCAGACGACAACATTGGGTACGTGTGAAGATTTTCTTTAGATAGAAGTATGCATTTTATGTGTGATGAAGAAAATAGACTCTGGGAATCTATTTTCAATGGCACATTTCCATAGAGTGAGTTAGAATCAAAGAATAGTTCATACGGTCGTAGAAAGTAAGAATAAATCACCAACTAAGATGTAAGTAGTGTATCTATGTTTATGGAACATCCATCTAGATTCAATCAGACACGAACATGTACTTCCTACCTCGTCACTGCTCTGCTCTAGTTTTGGATTGCTAAATAAAAGTGATAATTTTATTCATTTTAGGAGAAACAACTCAAGCACCAAGTTCCCTATTGTGTAATATCACTACTGCTTCCTTACCATCAAATAATTGGACGCTATTTACAACTACTTATCGAGGTACACATGCAGGCAATACATCACTCATGTTTTATTTCGTAGCAAGTTCATACTACAACTGGTATTTCGATGATGCATCGGTTAAGGATTCAGTAGGAAATGAAAAATTAATCAATGGAAATTTCGACAATTCGACAACATTAGTTGGTTGGACAAACGGATACATTGGAGTATGCTCATATAACTACGGAGTGACTACGAGTAATTATTACTCATCAAATAAGTCGTATTACGATTCTTGTATATTGGGAATAATCTGGATTTCTCAGAATTTCATTGGTTCTGTAGGAGAACTGTATAATGTTAGTTCCGACTTTACCTAAAAAAGGTTTCTTCACCATCATCATTCGATATTGCTCAAGTCAATGTTTCTATTGTATAGCTGCTTTCCTAGTATAAATTCTGGTAATAAAAATAAAAGACGTCATGCGTTGAAAATATCCCCATAAAGAGAATTTTTTCCTGAAGCAATATAGATATACATCATACACACTGTTAGCGCAAGATCACATCGCTGAATCTTGATCATTCCTCTATCTCTCGACAATGGGAAAGTAGTTCTCAAAAAAAAAATATCGTCCTTCGATCGGTGTATCAGACAATCATAATTATGTTCTGCTCATTGATGGTGTCTAAATAAATCTGAGCTCAATTTTCCGTCAACCGACCAATCATATCGATAGCAGAACTCAAGCAATTACATTGATCATTTGTGTAAATTGTGCGTTAATGATCGTGATCATGATTGGCCTCACAATGTATCTTCGGCATCTTTTGAAACGTCATCACACTCGATACAACGCTATGAGAAGAAATGTAGAAGAGATTGATCTTCACAAAACTTCAAGCAGGTTGATTCGTCCAAATAAGTACTTTTGTAGTGTTCCTGTTCATTCGTTGACTTTGTAGGAAATAAAGCTGTATCCGAGAAGAAATTTCTTACCTGGTTTTTTCGCTTTCACATACTTTCCTATAAAAACGTACAAGATTTTTGAGGCTGCGTTTTTGTCAATAGACGCACTCTGACAGCCATAATCCAACACAGAATGAGTATCAGACGTGTGCGGCGTCAATTAATAGAACTAAATGCTGATTCGAACAAAAAAGTTCTCATGCCTCACATACATGCTGATGGAAACAACAATAAAATGTTTGTGACGATAAATGATGCTGATCTAGATACTGAATCGAATGGATTAAAAACAGTGAACAGTGTCCTTAAAGATAGTAGTGATCTGTTAGGTACACCAGCCAGATTTATTAATAATATTCAAAAAAATTGGTTAACTACTCTGATTCTAATTTGTATTCTATGTTTATACTGTATTATTCGATATCATTGTTCTAATAAAATACGTCGTCGAACGGAACCATCCGAGGATGAGGAGTCAAAATCGCCCCCAGTTTCAAATCACCGAATGAGGAGAGTGCGAAGATGGTCACCAAGAGCTCTCCGTCGGTTATTTTGATCATGGTGAAGCACGATAAGAATCAATCCAATTTCTCGACATAAAATGTTGTGTCATAGGACAATTCGTGTACGAAGTAAACGAATTATCCAGCAATGAAACATCAGTCAATGATATTTGTTTTCCTTTTAAATATTTAATTCCGAAACTTTTTCGTTAATAATCAATAAATGAATGCAAAGAAAATTCGTATAAACTGAGTAATACCTTAATGTTCGATTAAATCTTTTTTTAAATACTTTTCTCATCCTATATCGATATGCATTTCTTTCTTTCTATCGATAACTTATCGTGTCGATAGACACTCAAACGTCGTTATCGAGAACCTGCATTGGACAACAAACAGCGGATAAGCAAGCCGATGTTACAACCAAACAAGTTCTTCAATACATAACAAATCTGTCCAAGCAAAGTACTGGAAGACGAAAATGTCTTATCGTTAAACGTATGATAACTTTGTAGGGAAGTATCTGTCGAGTCAATATATTAGTATAAGTCAACCGAATATGTCGATGTCGTTGATTGCGAATATCACAGCTGAAACAGGTCAAGTTTCAGGTATCTTTGAATGTGATTATACAAATGGTTTTTGATCGACGACTCCGCCACAAAAACTGCTTGATCATTCTTGTAATTCGATATTGAAAGACCATTGGAATAAGGGTGATCTGATCAATATATGTGCACATTTTCCTAATCCTGTATCTCCGAATGGTGGTGAACTACGAAACAAATCGAATCTAGTTTTCAATGATCTTTTGTATCCGCATACGATTACTGGCTAGAGATGGCAATCATTTCTTGATATTGTCGCGAATGGATTCAAAGACTTGGCGAATTCAAATATAACAGCTATGTTTCGTCCATTCCATGAAGCGAATGGGGCATGGTTTTGGTGGGGAAGACAAGTAAGGATATAAAGACTTTTTCGTAGATTTCTATCTATTTAAATACCTCATCACGCAGGATCCAACGGTATTCAAAAATGTTTGGATCCATATGTTTAATTATTTGACGCAAGTCAAAGATTTACATAATATCTTGTGGATCTATTCACCGGAGCAAGGTGCGTCAACTCCGTCACTGTACTATCCAGGCAGTGACTACGTGGATATTGTCGGACTCGATGTTTATACTGATGAACCTGTAAACAAATTGTCTCCTTTTGAGTAATATACACATGAGATTATCTGAATTTGTAGAATAGTTTGAAGGGATATGATGAAATGTTAGCTTTGAATAAGCCGACGATTCTTGGTGAAGTTGGTCCAAGAACCGCTGATGGTCAATTCGATTACAGTCTATTGTTAGAAAATGTTTTTTCTTTTCAAAAGTAAGGAATTTGACCTTATTTTAGACCAATTGCGATTCGAAATAAATATCCGAAAGTATCTTATTTACTAACATGGGCTGGCCCTTGGTCACCAGTGGCCAATAGAAATGCTTATAATTTATTCAATAACGCATACGTCATCAATCGTGGCGGTATCAATATAACCGATATGATGTTTTCTGTTTAAATAAAAGTTCGAAGAGTGTAACTGAAGGTGGAACCATCTTTACCTTTATTATTCATATTCACACCTTCAAAAGGCCGTCACGGTGAAACTAGCCAATGAATGCATAGTGCACATCATCGAGAGAAATTAATATGATTAGAAGGAAAAGGATAAAACATCAACGATGCACACGAGAGAAGACAGAATAGAAAAAAGAAGTGCATGACGGCATACGCCCTTTTCTCCTTTCAACAACGTTATTCATATTTATACCCGCGCGCGTCATACGGTCACAAGATAATTACATTATCATTGAACAAAGAATCTTTCTACTGCAGGGTTGAACAGGTACTTTTGTGAATGAATATACAAGCATATTCTCGTCAAACGATGCACGATCATTGTCAAAAGTTAGCGGTTGAATTTGGCGAGCAATCTCTTACTAGCAATGAAGTTACCTTTCATGCACAACAAATCGTCACGTTTTTAGTGGAGAACTACAATCTTAAATCGAAAGATGTCGTGTATCTATACGTTGAAAATGATCTGCCGAAGGTATGTCGATGTGTAACTACCGAAAATTTCTTTTAAGTTTTCATTAGGTAATCGGAACTAAATCAATCGAGTTGGCGGGTGCTGTTTGTCAATCTCTTTCGTCTCCAGATTCTCCTCCTCAAAATCGCTTAGTCTTGGTTGATTGGTTAACGCAAGATAAAATCAAAGATAATGTGATTACATTAAGTATTGATCGAATGATTCACACTGGATGTAAATCGTCAAAAAACGACGAAATACGAAGTATCGAACCAAACTTATTTCAAAATACCGCCACTAAACTCTGCATACCAAAGATCAATGATGATTCGATCATTCTCCTCGATGAGCACGAGAATATTATCTTTCGAAGCAAATATTCATGCAGTGAGATAATCCATCATATTAGAGATTGGGACAGTCTAGTCGAACTCTTCGCTGATGACTTGCATGCCGACACGATTTGCAACGACATTTCTCGATATATTACCGAAAGTATCAAAAAGCTAACACCATATTACACTACACAAATCATGTTAAAGCTTTGCATATACCGTCAAAAGTACATCGATAATCTGCTACAACAACTAATGGACTTCTTTCCATATAGATTAATTATTCAGAACGATTCCGGGAGTAAAGATCCCGAATCAGATTATGATATACGTATTGGTTCAACTGATGGTAGCGATGCGGACATTGATGCCTGTATGATATTCAATGAATTCTTCTCTCAACATTGGTCTTTACCATCAGGAATTGTATTTGATACGAATCTCTATCCGAGACATTTGAATACCGTCGAGCCGATATTTAATGTTCAAGGAACTGGATTAGGCATATTTAGGACCATACGATGTGATTATCCATATTATTTCTTTACGGAGATCAATGATTATAAGCAGAATAAAATGTCGATGATCAAATTACGAAAGTCAATGACTGGAAAAGAATGGCAAGATTATATAAATAGAATAACGAAAGCGGATTCCTCATTAAGAGAATTTTTCTATCGTGCTGATACAACATATTGGAAATATACGAAAAAATTACTCACACAGATATCTAAACCAAATAAGTTAATTCGCGATACATTAAACGAAATCGCGAATATTGTACCAACCATCAAAACGGATCGATACGATACGACGAGATTCGAATATTTATGGTCGAAAGTTCATGGTCGAATGCGACCTGCCTTAATGGAACACAGCAGCATCTTGTTTATATCATATCTCCGACAAGCTCGAAATCTCGAGCGCGAAATTCGAAACCGAAAAGATCGATACGACAATTCGTTTTTGCATCCGATCCTCTGCATACCCCCGAATGAAATGGCATATATCGACGCGCTGACTGTCTCCATGCGGCATAAATTCTCCAAAGCCATCTATTTTGCGAACGATGCATGCGTCGCCGAAGGTTCAATGTATTACGTCAGTGTCGAACAGTACAACAATCATGTTGACGTATCCTATGTAAAGGATAAAACATTGCGAACAAATCTTTTAACGAATAATCAATTGTACCAATCCATGAATGAACAATACGGAAATTTTCTGAAGTATATCAAAAGTTACTCGAACAAGCAAGTTCATAATGGACGGACGATCTATCGAAGCAGCAAATATTTGTATCGACTAGTCAATACGATGATAGATTTAGGTGCAAATCAATGGAATCGAATGGGCTTTGATAATGATCAGCACGGGAAAAGATTAGGATTGCTGGTGAAGGAATGTTTATTGTTTATTCGGAAATATAAATATCCATATAATGAAATGAATTCCAATGATCGTGCGGAGATAAGTGAATATTTTGCATTAGGGATATTTCCAACTGATCGGCAACTACAAATATTTTGGGAATACCGAAGATCAACACTGGATAGGTCATCGGAATTGTACAAATATCGAAGTTATACGTGGGAA